TAATGATGTAAATATGTATAAAAAATAATATAAGCAATTAAAAATATAATTTTTAATAATAGGTTCATGTTTGAAAAACAGAAATTTGAATTGCCATAATAATCACCGCCTTAAACAAGAAATCTCAAGATTTTTAAAATATCATTTAAGTATTATATTTGAAAATTCCACTAATCAGAATTTGAAAAAATTTATAATTGAATGAAAAATGGGGGTGATTAGTAAATATATTTGTGAATCACTCTATATGCGCAGAACGGAAATAATTCTTAAAAAAAAATATTTAGCTTATGCGGTAACAAAATTTTTCACTGCAACTTGTCTTTCCTATTTATATTTCCATCAACCATTGTATAAACATGTTTACGAAATATACCACGTATTTTATGCACTTCTGTTGTATCAATAATAATAATAATAAAAACAACAATAATATATAAATACAAATAATACAATATTCTAAAATGTATAAGCAAGTAATTTTTATTACATTAAAAATAATTTAAACGTAACAATTTATTTGATTCTTTATTTTATTTTATGGTATCTATCGAAATAAAAATAGTCAAGTCAAATATCTATACAGTGATTCATTTTATTTATCAAAGAATAATAATCATATTATAGATACGATTGGCACTACTAAAACGCATTTTTATATCAGAACGGCCTCTTAATTATTTTTTATCGTGTAATTTTACGACGTATAAAACAATAATATATAGGTAACACTTATAATATAATATATTGTATGAACATTGAATAGTCAATAGTCAATACCTACGTACGTACTTACTCTACTTTATTATAAATAGCTATAATTTATATAGGGAGGTAATAGGTATAGGTACATAATAACTATAATTTAATAGTGTAACCACAGAATATATTCTAATTAAAAATATTATGTTTATATTAACTATGTAAAAATAATATCTGTAATATGACTAAGTCAAGACTGTGATCAGTTGGGCGTAATAAACTAGTTTTGTCCCTTATTTACAGTTCATCATCTTAACATGGTCTCAATATCTTTGACCTATACAGTAATAAGTACGTCAATATGCGAGATAAAAATATATGTTAAATATCACGACAAACCATTATTGTAGTTCCCACGAGTACAAACGAATGTAATATTATACTAAAAAAATAACTTGTTTTACAGTGTTTGGTATCGTATTTTGGTATTTTTATGAAAAAAGAAAAAAAAGAAAACGAGATGTCTTCGATTACCTACTTATACGTCCCATAACTTTAAACAAATTATGTAACCCACAAATATGTAATTTATACCAATATACTTATTAATATACAATATTAATAATTATTATTTACTGCATGTTGTGAATCACAACTTGAACACAACTTGTAGTGACACGCAATTAACGTTTTATTGAATATTTTTTTTAGCCGCCAACCGTTCGGAAGGTGGAAAGTATGTGCCACGTGCCGTCTTACTCGACCTGGAACCGGGTACCATGGAGTCTATCCGGTCCGGACCTTACGGCGCGCTCTTCCGACCGGACAACTTCGTATTCGGTCAGTCAGGTGCCGGAAACAACTGGGCCAAGGGCCATTACACGGAGGGCGCCGAGCTCGTTGACGCCGTGTTGGACGTGGTGCGCAAAGAGAGCGAGAACTGCGACTGTCTGCAGGTATATATAAAATAATTAGGAATAAAATAAAAAATATTTTCACTTTATAGATCAATCGGTAAATATTTACATGTCCGGAAACCGTTATATAGTAGAAGGTATTTATTGTATTTTACGTGTACAATTCGCGACGATAAAAAATAAACCGAATTTTTGTTAACGGATAATACGTATTTGCGTGATAATCGCAAATTTATGAGAATGTTTTAAGTTATAACTTATAGCATAGATCGTTATTCGTTAATAGTATGAATGTATAAATTATTTATATTGTATGTATGCGGGTAAATATACTATGCGTCGCGACGGGGATCAAAGTTTGGAATTTGTCCAAACACTTATTATAGGTACATCATACATAATATTATATTTTGTTATATTTAACTGCACGTATATTACTATATGTGCGACGATCTCCCGCGCTTTTATTATTTCTTTACCTATAATTCGAAACTATTCGGGGATCTGAAATATGTAACAGTCATATACACCTATTTACGTTTTAACTTTTAACACGTATCGTACATTCATAGGCATAATATATTTCAGTCACGATGGCCAATTGTTAATTTACTGACATGTACCTACTATTATAAATTCCACCGGTGTATGGTACCGATCGCATTTTTTTATATTATCATTCTTATTATTGATAGATATCATTGTTGTTTTATCATCAATGTAGGTATGATACGTCATGTGTAGATAGGTATTGAAACTAATGAATTCTAATATCGAATTAACACATTTATCGTAAAATCTATAGGCGTTCCCCAAACTTATTATTTTTCGTTTTCAAGTAGTATAAAAACTTTGATATTAGAAAAAAATACACGAACAAGAACTTCGACGAAGGGTCTGAAGGATACGCCTGTACCTACCATACGCGCTATGCGTATTAGTATTATTTGCGTAAGTGGTGCAGTCAGGAGTTTGAATAGTGGGTGTAAATACTCGCCGGTACCATATGACATATTAGACTTTAGCAGAGCAATTTTCATAACGTAATACGTGCGTTCCTGCAGAATGCACCGTCGTCTTTAAATTTTCTAGAAAAAATGCCAACCCCCCTCTTCCCACCACGGTAACAATGCCGATTCGCACCGCGTAACTGTACTTAACCATTAATCGACGGTCACTGTCCGCTGCTACAGGGATTCCAGTTGGCGCACTCGCTGGGCGGCGGCACCGGTTCCGGTCTGGGCACGCTGCTCATATCGAAGATTCGCGAGGAGTATCCCGACCGGATAATGAACACATACTCGGTAATGCCGTCTCCGAAGGTGTCGGATACGGTCGTGGAGCCGTACAACGCGACACTATCCGTGCACCAGCTGGTGGAGAACACGGATGAGTCGTACCTGATCGACAACGAGGCGCTGTACGACATATGCTTCAGGACGCTGAAGTTGACCAACCCGACTTACGGCGACCTCAACCACCTGGTGTCGTTGACCATGTCTGGCGTGACTACGTGCCTCCGGTTCCCCGGTCAGCTGAACGCCGATCTCCGCAAGCTGGCCGTCAACATGGTCCCGTTCCCTCGGCTCCACTTCTTCATGCCTGGATTCGCGCCGCTCACAGCCCGCGGCAGCCAGTCTTACCGGGCCATGAGCGTGCCCGAGCTCACCCAGCAAATGTTTGATGCCAAGAACATGATGGTTGCTTGCGATCCCCGGCACGGCCGCTACCTCACTGTCGCTGCTATATTCAGGTCAGTAATGCCGTGAGCGTGCATTTTAAATTCTCGGAGAGGCAAATGGCGTAATAGTTTTTTTGGTGGGGGGAGGCTAGAGCTTTCCATATTATTGATAAAAAAATATAACGTGACTCCTCCCCTCAGAGTGCTGAATATTATTCTACGAACCGAGTATAGTAGTGGTAGTTCAAATCTTAGGTATCAAAATGTGTTCGTCTATCATCTTACGTCTCACTACGGTGTCGTACCTGTTAGAATTTTTTTCTTGTTCTATTTAAGTGGTCATCTTTTTTTCATATCTATAGGATAGACAGTTTCAGTAGAGGTAGGTACTATACAAGTATACCATGTATATTCGATTGAAAATTTCAGTATTCTTCAGTACGTCTTTTGTCTCTTGAAATCGTAGGGCTCCGTCTTAACGTAAAATTTATTCGCTATTTTTGTGATTGCGTAAAACAAATATTCACAGACTCACAGTCGCTATAAATTTTTCTGCTCTACTCATAAGAAACCGTGTTTTAATTTAGGTATTTATTTTTTATTACCTTTAATACTAGCTGTGGTGTGTATTAGTTGCAGACAATAATAAATCATACTCATATTTATTACTAAAAACGTTTAAAACAAATAGATTTATAATAACTGATATTAAATAAAAATCACACTGATTAAATATTTGATCAATGCGAAATACTTAAATTGTAAATAAAATTGTATCCTCAAGCATCAAGTGATGTTCTCCTACACATTAAAATGCCTGATATAGATGACAGATTAGTAAACCGATATTGTTGCATATCAGTCATACTTATACCATTATATAAAATCATTTCACGAGTTAATATTTTTATGCGTTCGACTTGCAGGGGTCGCATGTCCATGAAGGAGGTGGACGAGCAGATGTTGAACGTGCAAAACAAGAACTCGAGCTACTTTGTTGATTGGATCCCAAACAACGTGAAAACGGCCGTTTGTGACATTCCGCCATGCGGTCTCAAGATGAGCTCTACGTTCATCGGAAACACCACGGCCATTCAAGAGTTGTTCAAGCGCATATCCGAACAGTTTTCAGCCATGTTCAGAAGGAAAGCTTTCTTGCATTGGTACACAGGCGAAGGTATGGACGAAATGGAATTCACCGAAGCTGAATCTAACATGAATGATTTGATATCCGAATACCAACAGTATCAGGTACAGTTTTCGGTTTATTATTTTTTCTACAAGACATTTGATCACATGAGATGACGAAAGATTTATTGTTGTTACACCTATTTTATAATATCCCTAATGTCATCTTACATTACAGGAGGCGTCGGTGGACGAGGAGTACATTGAAGAAGAAGAAACCGAAGAGACAGACATGTGCGATTAAACTTATTACTGTAAGTTTCACCGTTCTAATGTAATCTTAATTTATGTATTTTTTTTTTTCAATTTTTTTTTATATATATATAGAAACATATTATGTATAATTTCTCTCAATTAAATTATTAAACATTTTGTATTTGATTTTAATTAAGTTTTGTATTTTAATATAGTTTATGATTTATAAATATATATATTTATATATTATACATTTTGATCAATAAACCATAATCTGCGTTTAAAATGCATGTTATAAATTAAATATAATAATAATAATAATAAAACATCGTACAAAACAATATTTACAAAATATTTCATGTATACCTGATAAAAAAAAAAAAAATAGAAAATTATTAATTTCATTTAGTTTTTTAATCTACAAGGCCTATAGTTTGGTTTCATGTCGAGTGGTGAGAGCATTGCGACCAGGTAGTCGCAAGGGTCTGGGTGATAATTTTGGCTGCGAGGTATCTGACTCATCATCACCAGAGTCCACATCTCCATCACTTGAATTTGTGGATGCAACAAAATGATCAGAGCGTATAGTTTTTCTTGGCCTTACTTTTCTGTAGAATTTAAACTCTCTAGGCAGTGTGTATGAACGCGGTAGTGATATCTGTGAGTCTAAATCTGATGGCGACTTGTACGATTTGTACATCAATGTGAAAACTTGGTCATTTGGTTGAGTATTGTTATCTTGAGCGCTAGAAAAGTGATGTTAGTTAACGTGTTTAATAATTTACCTAATACTTTCATGTAAATTATAGTTATAGTAGGTAAAACTTACCTATAAGGTGGAGCAATCCAATTTTGTTGTTGCAGGTAATCCTGAGGAGACAAAAGTACTTCTCCATTTTCTGTTGGGTCCTTTAACTTGCCTTGCCTAATTTCCTCTTCAATAGCTCGGAGTTCAGCAAGTTGGTTTTGTCTTTTTTCTTGTAATTTCTGCCGAATATCTACATGAGAGCTGGCACTCTCGTTTTCACTGGAACCCTGTTGGCTATGGTTGGATGGTGGTGGTTTGCACCAAAATGCAACACTATCTCGACCACTTGTACCAGATGGTGGTGGTACAAAAGTAGTTGGTTTTTTTTTCTTACGCTTTTGCATAGCTGCCACATATGGGTTAGTGAAACGACAATTAAAAACGCCCGGAATACCATTATGTACACTTGCTGGCAATGCACTGAAATACCTCTGATTTCTTTGTAAGGTTGGAGGTGGTTCATTACCAATAGTTTGATTGTGGTAACCACCTGGTGGTATGTTCTCATAAACACTACTGAAACTGTGCCTTCTCATAAGATCATTCTATAAATTTAAACAAAAAAAAATAATGTTATTAACAGAGATATTGCATACGGTACCAGTGAAATGTAAACATCAACTATACTTTTGAATATTAGTATGTTGGTAGTTAAGTCAATTAAACTCAAAAATAGTAAATTATTAAGTTGTAATTGTGATAAAAAAAAAAATACAATAATTTCAATATTAACAGTATATACCTAATAAATCACAAACATGAAATTAATCTATTTTAAATTTTTACCAAGACATTCTGGTAAATTTTTTAGATTTTATGATTCCAATTTAAATTCATTAAATAGCCTTGATCATATAATTTTTTTCTTTTAATAAAAAAGAAAATTTAATGCTATATACAGAATTCATCAACAGAATAATATTAAAAAGCCCTAATCATAGATATAAAACAATTTTTTAGCAGTGTATCCTACAGGTTGGTGTTAATTGGACTGTCAAAAATAGTATAAAAACAATTAATAAAAGCAATACACTTTCAATACATTGTCATAATAAAATTCTGTAATTCATTGCTATCTTACCTTGCCATTAGGCACATTTATCTGATCTTTATACTTGGCTTCTAATGCTAACTTTGCTGTTGAGTTATTACTATTAGTAGCATTGCTCAGTCTGCCTCCAGATTCATATTTTAATCTTCTTACATGAAAAAACTGATAATAAATTGCCATGAATACAAGACCACAACAGAACAGCCCAAGAACAATAAATGGTTTGACTGCATCACCACTGCCAATGCTCCATACAAACATGAGAAGAGCGTTTTCTAACGCCATCACCACATAAAACATTAGCTATAAAAATATTCATTCAAATTAATAAGCAATTTAGATTACTATTTTTGTTAAGTTGATAAAATAATAATCCAAGAAATGTAGACATTAACATTTTATTTATTTAATTAAATGTAAAATAAATTTTTTTTTGAAATCAAGAAATAGTAATTAATAACATAATATTATTTTAAAACTCAGTAGATTGGTACTCAACAGTAATTTAGTTTAAAATCAATTTATAATACTTAATAAAGCATAAAATAATATGATATTAAAATAAGAAGACAATATTTTATTTAAAATACAGAAAAGAAAAAATAATTTCTGAAAAATGTAACAAAAATAAACTTAAGTGCCTATCTGTTTAATTTAAACAAAACATCATATAACTAAAATAATGTTTTTGCATAGATGCACAATAATTAACAAGCTTGATAATTAATATAAAAAGTTTAATATGCATAAGATATTTGAAAATAATATGGATTTTAATAGATTTTCTACTAAATATTTAGCATACCACAAGTACTCACCATTTTTTCTCTATGGTTGTTCTCTAGTAGGTTAACGTATTCAAACGTGAATACAAAAGCTAATAGTGCGAACAAAAAAGCTTTACGCTTAGGAGACATCCGTTCACCGTGAAACACATTTTTAGGCGAGTGTAACCACAACAGCATAGACAACCAATGTAAACCGAGTACCAACAGCACCCAATATTTATACATAGCGGCATAGGCGGTCAACGAAATGACTCTGGCCCCGACGGTACCCAAACGCCACAGGAACTGTACAGTGACATATTATTATAGTGGCGATCGTTGGAAAGCTTATTAACACACATGTCACATACAGACAGTTTGACATTAGTGAGTGACGGGTACTTACCTGAAATATGACTCCGAGCCACGTGAGGACTAGCCTGTGGACATTCTGCATGCGTACGTTCTTGCCAAACGACGCCAGGGCCCAGCACACGCTGACGGTGGACAGCGTGACGGCTACTTTGTTGAGGTCGCGCAGGTGTTTGCGATCACCGCCTCCGTCTGTCCACAGCAGGTAGGACTGCAACAGTAGCAGCGGCATCGACTCGCAGAACGCGTGCAACAGGCGCAGCATGCATAGGTCGCGCACCTCGAACTTGACGTATCGCAAGTCGACGGGCAGGAACAGCTTGAAGTACCTGAAACGAAACACGGCAAACGTCAAGCGGGCGAATCACTTCGGTTGAGCGGGCGGGTGCAAAAGACTGCGCGAGTTAAAGCTCACCTCCACAGGACGCCCAGCTGGACGAAGTGCAACGCTTGCACGGCCGACCGTTTCAGCCGGTCGGCAAGCGTTGACTTGTCGCCGACGGTTCGCGCGGCCAGGTACCAGCGCAGCGACATGGTCTGCTCGACGGTGGCAGACGCGCCGACGAACAACATGGTCAGCACGAACGGCACGTAGCGGCCATGCGAGTAGAGCGCGTAGCCCATGACCACGTCGAACACGATGTCGCAGAAGTACGCGGCCAAAGAGATGATGTTGAACAGCACGTCGCACAGCGGCAGGAACTCATACTGGGCCATGTGATCATGTTTCGGCCCGTCGTCGTCGCGGCCGTAACGACGACCGGAGACTTTAACGGACGTCGCGCGGGTCTAAGTCATGGCACCGCGGAGTCGGACAGACGTAGGAGTCATCACCGCGAGAAACGGAACTGCGGAACCGCGGAACGGGCCGGAAGTCTCTGCGCCGATTCGACGCGGCGTCAACAGTGTCACGATATCGTTCGTTATCTCACCGTGCGGACGTGACGGTCGACGGACGACGACCAGCTGCGCCACTTACCTTGTCAAACGCGCGAAAATGCGGATGACAAAAACAACAAAGACCGCCGTTGATAATAATGTTTTGCCTTCAAATATCGACGGCAACCGCTCGACGACACCGTTTGTTCTGTCGTCGTCGTAGGTACGTTTTTAATTTTTTTGTTCATCAACCAAACGGCTCGGAGTGTACAACGATCGTACGCGATTCGCCCGTTGTCCGACGTTATCCGTTTCGATTGTATGCCGCGGCAGTGTGCGAGAGAGTGATGCTGCGGAGATGTGACGATGAACGACGAACACTCACACACACACACGCACAAGCGCATGCACCCGCGAGCACCTCGTACTCGCGTCTCGTACGGTCACACATGCATTCTCGAGGAGACGCGCATATTTGCCAACAGGTGGCGGGCTCAGCGATTTGAGAACCCCTGCGGCATGGGTCGGAAACTCGGAACGCGTTGCCACAGCATGAGCCACGGAGTATGGTCGTATGGGCATTCCTAGTCTGAGTGGTCCGAAGACTGCAGGTAACCCTTACGCTATACTCTTCAATCTGTCTGTGGTGCTGTGCTTGGTTCGTATAAAAAATAAAGATGAGACGTAGAGTGACTACGCCACTGCCAGAGTCAGATAATACCCACGGCGGTGCAAAAGGTATAATTTCCGTCTCCGAGCAGTACAAACTAGGATGAAAATACGTTTAGGAGTTCTTAAAATAATTTTATTTTAATATCATGTATTGCTTTTAAATTAATTATGACCCGACTTGAATAATCGCACATTTTCCTCGACACAATTTACGAGGTAGGTCTCTGGTAATAATAAATCATAAAGTCATCGAAAATACCAAACAAATATTCAAAGTTTTCGTTCTTCCGTATTTTAGATTCTGCGCGGATCGACGAATGTTTTTATTTTACAGTTAAATGTTTATTTTTATTATTATTATTTTGTATCAAGAATTTAAAGCTTGAAGAATTTTTTCCAAGATATGCACACTCGATGCATAGGCCTTTTTTTCCATTTTCACTTTTGAGAGTGGTTTCTGGCAGTAGATTGTATTTTGTTGGTAATTGAGAAGAGGGTGGGTTATACAATTTTGATCCATAGTCATTTACTGGAAAAAACTTGAAAAAAAATTGAGGAAAAACTTGATTTTTAGATAACATCATAGATATTTGACATTTTTACCAAACGTTCATAATAGAATTTTTGATATACATTATGATTTTCAAAATTAGAGCTGTTTAGATAAATTAAATTTTTTTTTGTTGAGATAATATAGTTAATTTACGTCTTTTATCTTGATTTTGGTAGTTTTAATTTTAGAATAGGTTTTTTCATTTAGTGGCAGGACTTTAATTTGGCAGTGTCACTTTAATTACCTTTAATTACTTTTATTTCGAACTACCCCGGCCGCCGAGCTGAAAACTAAAATTAATCATTTTTAAATTATGAAAAATGATTGGTTATCCGAAAATTTAATTTTCGATGCTGGTTGAAATGATATAAATTGTTCCTTTACCGCTCAACAGACAGTGAATACTTTTTTTTTGATCGACTAGTCTTAATTTTTTTATTTTAAACAGTCTACAATTTTGTTTAATAATATTTCATGTTTGGGGTCAGTCCTTCCTTTGGCTTAAAATTATTTAACATCTGTTAATTTTAATTGAAATCTCCATAAGACTCATAAGAGTAAATTGACTGCTTTCGGAAGGTTAAAATATTTCACTATTTTAATTGTTAGTTATTAATGTTATCCAATATCTATTACACTATGTACACTCGTATACATTACTGACCTAGATAAAGATAAAAGAAAAAGTTCGTGTAGTTAAAGATAATAGATAAATGTACTTTATCTACATAAAAAAAAGATAAGAAAATCGTTATATTTGAACTTGAAATAAGCCTTAACGATTTATCAACTTATTTTACAATTTATCAGTTTTTTTCCTCGCAAAAACAAACTGTGTAGTATTAGCACATTTTACTACATTAGTTTCATCATTAATTTATAAATGTTTTCAAATTCAAAAAATGAATTTATGTACATGTACTTATTGATAACATAAAAAAAAAGATGAATTATTTTTGAGTGTATGTTTAGTATTAATTAGTATTAACATTAAACACATTAAGTATCATATAATATACAATATAGATTAGGTAAAATTGTTAATATAAAATATCTTAAAATGTTATTCAGTATTAATATATATATTAAGTATACTATATTTAATTTATGGTATTAATATTATAATAAAAACATTGATCAACAACTTACAATTTTATTATTAGGTATCAATAAAAATTGTAGTGAAATATTTTATCTACATTCTACAATACTATACTTCTATGTATTTAAAATATTGAAATAAAAAAATATTCTAATTTTTAATTAAATTATTGTACCAAATAATTGTATTCAGATTTCAGTTGGTTAAGGTATTTGAAAAAATAATAATTAAAATCACATTTATTTAAAAACCAATTTAAATATCATACTTATTAACTAAAATACATTATAAAACAAAATAACTGTTTTTATTTGAAGATTGTATATCATATGATACGTAATTTTTTTCTAATTGCAATGGTATTTCTTTATCCTTAGGCACATAAATAACTTCAATACTTCAGTAGTCAATAAAATATTTAACAGCAGATTTAATCCTTTTTATCATAAATGTGTCATAATTTATTAGTGCTTTTAGTTTAAAAATAATTCATTTAAAATTCCTTCAATAATCTTACCTCTATTCTTGGGGAATGTTATATTTGATGCAGCCTGCCATACTTAATAATACGTAGATTTGGCACCACTGAACTGAAGTACAGACTTATTCATATATTTACATATATTTTTCTGGGTGATTTACTATACATGTACCAAGTAAGTACGACTAAGGTAATTCTATTTAGAAATAAGTATCCACAGCGGGTGCCAATGCATACCCAGTTCTTCCCATAGTTAACCCTATACTGATTAGTAGCTCCTTAGCATAATGAAAATTCTATTGGGTGAAGTTTAAAGCATGGTCTGCTAATTATTGGATTTTAATGATTTTATAAAGATTAGACTTTAAAATTTTGTCCATTTGATTTGCATATTAATCATAATTCAGTCCACTGCTCAATGATACCTAATCATTCTAATCATTAAAGATTATATGTAATAACTTAAAAGAAGGCAAACATTTATTTATTTAATATTATGTTATTATATTGTTACTTATTTGCCTTTAATAAAATAATTAGTAATATACTATTTAAAACAATATAGCTATTTTTTTTTAAACTTTCAAGACCACTAATATAACTATTAGATCAATAAATATAGTATTGTCCACTGAGTAAATTATTTAACAAGCGTTTTGGAAGAGTATATAGAGTAAATAAAAGTCTGTAGAATTTTGGACTTAATTAATAAATTTAAAATCTTAAAATGGTTGCTTATACAAAATTGTGGAGAATATTACAATTAAAAAAAAAAAAAGTAAATAGATAGTGAAATTACTAGGACATAAAAAATTAAAGTTAATACGATTATCATGTATCCTTAAAAAAAATAAATGTGTATAGAAATATTTATATTAATGTTTTTGTTTGTAATTGATTTATTACAGTATATAATTAATTTTTATCTCAATATTTTATAGTTGTTCTAATTGAAATGTTGATACAAATCAAAAGAGTGACTTATTTTCCAGCTAAAGAACATTTTGTATATTTCTTTTGACACGCTGTTATCTACAATAGTTCCAATAATATCATTTGTGGATGTGCAGAAGAACTAATTTGTATTGGGCAGGAAATATTTATTTTGTCGAATAGAGTTTAAGTACACTTCTTAATATCTAAAATATTTTCTTTACAGCAAAAATGATGGTAAATTTAAATTTACTTCACATGCAATAAATTATTTAAATATTACAATCCTGGATATATATCTATTTATTTTTAAACGTATAATTTTTCCTCGGTTTAAGCTATTAGTTATAAGTTATAACATTTTGTACAAAATTATGTTGCATAAAGTAACAGTACTAGGTTTATTGTTAATAATTATTTTTTAAAAAGTACAAATTAATCAGCTTAAAAAGTTATCAAACACTAATGAGAAAGTAACAGATTTGAGCTCAGCTGAACTAATTTTTCGATATTGGCTTTAATATTGGAGTGAATTAATTCATTTAAAAGTACCTAACTTAATAATGTTTAATTTATACTTAAAGTTAAGAATATTGCCTATGGCATGATATATAGGCTTTAATTGATATTTTAATTTTAATGTTCATTATCTATGTAAAATGTTACAATTTTGCACGCAGGTCAGAGAGAGAAAATAAAATGTGCAGACATATTCTTAAATAATTAATACCAATCATAAACAATGTTACATATTTTCATATAATTGAGTTATTCAAATCAAAGCAGTTGATATAAAAAAAAATTAACTTTGCACAAGTAGTTTATCTAATGTATTGACAGCGCTATTAAACATTATCAATTTGTAAATTGTTTGTTTGGCAGGGTCCTTGTATACTTAAGGTAGGTCCAGCTGTTATTAAATCCATACTTTTCATCATAAAATTTGTGTTAAGAATTTTCCATGTGTTTTCTGCTTGAGGATCTTCTCTGAGTATGAATTGTTGTTCAAACATTCCAACCATTCTCCCAACACCTTGATGAAGTGTTCCGCCAATATGCACTTTTACCAAACCGTGCGATTCTTTTTTCCATTTAACATCACTTAAATGTGGTGAAAAAAAGAGTATGTGTTCTTTTTTGATACCTAATAAACACTGCAATATGGACGTAGAGTCTTTACAAGACTCACTGATTTCGTTGTTGCCACCAAGAATTTTTAACGACATTGTACAATTTTCATAAAAATGACGAGTGTCTAATTGATTTTTTCCTGGAACACCAAGATCATTTAATAAATCATAAAAATGTTTAGCAAACATTTCAATGAATTCTTCTAGTAATTCGTTATCACGATCTTTTCGAGATTTTGTACTAGGTTCGAGTCCCATATTATTTGGTGTTGGCATTGACATAGGCATCTAAAAAAAATTATAAAAAAATAATTTAAGATAAGATTGAAATCGATAAGATTTAATCTGTTGTAGGATATTTGAAATTTTAATAAAAATAAATGTTATTATCATAGTTAATATTGAAATCAATGTGTGGATTTTCTTAAACACTTTAAATTTTGTTTTCATATACATAATATTACTTAGTAATTATGAGATTAAAAAATTGAAATGTATGAAAAGTAATGTATTATTTTCATAATGGTCATATAAACAGATTCAGAATCACAAAAAAAACTTGATTTAAAAAAAAAATATTAAACTAATTGCAACACATACCTGGTGAACAGCCATTTGTTGATAGGGTTGAGTATGCATCATATTGTTATTTTGAGATATTGCAAGCATATTATTAGGAATAGATTGTACTGGCGGGCTGATATAATCTGGCTGATTTTCAATTAATGCCTTAAAAGCCAAACATAAATCAGCTTTTGTCATATCTGTAGTAGGTACTAAACCTTTTGAAATTAAAAACTTCAACAACATAGTCATATGTACTTTTTTACTGGACAATACCCGCACATAAGGCTGAGACAATAATAACAATTCAGCATCTAAAACACATTATAAGTTGTAATGATAAATTTTAACACACACATTGGAAATAGATAAAATATAAATTTATAGATATCCAACATACATCATGATAAACTTTTCTTTTCTTTAATTATTTATTTCGTCATATTTAATGTCTTTACAATGATTGATGTTAGAATAAAATTGTAAAATATATACCACTTTAAATGCTGTCACCTTACCTTCTCGGGTATTTGTAGTGATTCCACCTCCATGGTAGACGGATCGGACAATTTTGCATAATTCATTTGTTTCGATTCCATCCAGAAATTGTTTCAATAACCGTTTTTCACAATTGGTTGCCATTAGAGTAGCAAATGCAAGATCGCAATGTCTGCTATTCACACGTCCGACGTGAAATATATTATTAATCTATAGTTCACTACACAATTATATTGAAATTATAAGAGTAATCATGGGCATACACCACAGACCACAGTACCACACGGCTTAACATAATATCAGTTATCACAATCATAATCAAAGACGGTGATATCTTAAACCGTTGTGATATCCTAGTTTTTCCGGAGTGATAAGAATGAAGAAAAAATTAGTTAAAACTTTCAAATTCAAAGCTGCCAACTTAGAAAAGTAAAAATCCCACCAATCTTACTGCAACTGTGACGCCAATACAAAAATAAAAAATGTCTCGAAATATCTCGTGTTAAAATTCAAATATTATTATTGTTAATATTAAATGATCAAAAAACCATTAAAACTGTTATTAATTAGATCTAACTGATTTAAGTTTTAAACAATACGAACATTGAAATCTGTTAAATATTGGCGTGCCACAGTAAGTAGATCTTTTGCGATTTTTTAATTCTCGAATTCAAATTAAGTATTATTTGAGCAGCTAATCAACTATAAAAATTTAAAAAAATATGCACGCTTATTCGACTATATGTGGTATTTCTTAAAACAGGAAATAATTAGGACTAAAGATCTCGCTATATATTATCAACAATTGTTTATTAAGTTAATCCTCGTAACAAGTTAATCATAAATTAAAAATTAAAAATAGCAAATCGTCCTGTTGCACGGGTATTTCATTTTTCTGCCAGAATCGACCTTTCCGTTTATCGTCGGCGTAATAATAAACATTTCTGTTTTCCACCAATGAAAATTTAGTTAATATATAAATATATAATATTAAATTTTGGTAACCTAAGGATTACCAGCTGCTGTCTATATCAAAAACTATAATTGATGACGTGTTTCTTAATATACCCACACAGCTATTAAAGTCATTACTCATTACCTTTAATGGCTTTAATATTGCGGTAAGTGGATATAATTTTAATATTGAATTTGTTATTTTTTATTAGTATTTTATTATTAAATAATATAAATTTTTACCACGTTATATAACACAAAATTTAATAACATCTATAAAATATACCCTAAGATAGTAAAAATAAATTCAAAAATAAATCAAAAATGTATAGAAAAATTCTTAATAATGTAATATACGTAAACATTTTAAGTTTACTTTTATTAAAAGTTTAATTCCAATAAAATAATTAACATAGTCATCGATCGTTTAAATAATTTCACGGTATGCGACCACGCGTAGGTTTACCTACACAATATAATATAAATTATTCATAAACACACATCGTATACGAGTACAGGGTCGATGAGCATCTTACGGCCATGCCTAATGTTTAAAAAAATAGTACGGACATAGCAAACCGAATCCCAATATTGTGGTGATAATATCTTTAATAATAATAACAATTATTATTATTATTTGTGTTGATGTATTGTAATAATTATTCATAATAATAATAAAATACTTTTAGACAGACGATAATATATAATATTGTGATTTCGTACGGTATTTATCGATTGTCAGAAATGGCGGAAAGCTTAAAATTAAAGTTAGAACACTGTTCCATGTAGGCAATAACGAAAGAGATCTTTATTTAGTCAAATTGAGAAAAGCCAGCAATATCGGTTCGCGTATGGCGCTCCAGACGAACTGAGAAAATACTTAAAACGGCAATAAATAAATTGTACTTTATAGCCCACAGAGTATTTATTATATTTCTTAGAATATATTATATATATTATGGTGTATGTGTGTGTGTTTTTTTTTTATTTTCGCCAATCGAACGTTACGAACACGCGAACAGTATACTGCAATGCAATAATAAAGTAACATCGCTTTATTGTGTAGGTACTACGAATAAGTCATCGTGTCATTGGTCTGCAGTTAAAGACGTACTTATCGTATACCTATATATTTTTAATAATACTATATTATGTCGAAATACGGGTCAGCAGGCAGGACTTACAATTTTGAAAATATATTCTACGCGCTCCGCTTTGAAACGTGTCTCATACATTGTTATATAAGTGGATCGTAAAATTTTATCGAAGTGGACTCGAGGTACAATATAATACCTATATGAGTCAGGCGTAAACGTTATTTTATAGTATTTGATATTTTATTTTTTATTTTCGGTATCATTACTACAGTAGGTAGGTACTTCGTGTTTTGGACCTCACGTGAGATTACATGTTTTTGTACTCGAATTAAAGTCGATGTGGATATCAAACCGATGACGAGAAATCTTATTTTCGACATCCCACTTAATAATATAGTCTCGTGGAATTTGAACTGTCACATTAGAATTGGATAAAATCAGTTCATTATTCTTGAAAAAAATCAAAATTAGACACAACACGGGAATAAATTATTGATTGATACTATTCATAAGTTCTATAATATAGTGGCTGTTATTTCATCGAATATCTACCTTAAAATATCGTGAGTTGGTCGTAGAATATTATAATAATACGTGACCTCCGCGAAGGAGTTAAGTTTGATTTTCCGTTACTACTTAAATAATCTTTTGTGTAACCACAACTTATCTAACTATCTTAAGTACAAAAATATAAATATAAACATTTCAACTATAACGTAACTATCTTTACTCTTAGCTAATCTTATTAATTTACGGAAATAATTTACTCTATGCTCGTCATCAACGTTTAGTAACATCGTAGTTCAATGAATTAATGATTTAATGTGGGCAAATTTATACAAGAAGTTTGTATCCTTATGGTATTTATGGCTTAGTGCGACAGCAATGTTGTTCATTCTATTTAATCGTTTTCAAATTTATCACCAGAGTAAATTATTAATAGGTACTTTCCATTAACAACTATGCGATTACTTTAAGTTATAACTTATAATGACTGAATGAAAATATCGTTGAGCAAAAATTAATTTTGTTTGTATATATATATATTATTGTGTACTGGCAACAAAGATTTTTTTTAGGTAATATTTAAGCCGTCAAAAAATATAAGTAATTTAAAAAACATTGGCTATATCTATTCAATTTTATCAAGGTAATTGGGCTCTTATATATTAAGACTGTATTTCATGAAACTTTAAATCGATATTAACCATTAAAATAGGTATCTATGTAAAAATAAAAGTGGATTGGTCATGATTCATGAATGCAAAAGTTAATCAAACATTTTTTTCAAAATGTTATAAATTCTTTGACCATTAATCATTATAAATATTCTACTATATTGGATTGCATCTATGAAAATATAAATTGATATTGAAAATTTCAATATATTTAGGTAAAAAAAAAAAACGTAAGCTTTAATTTATGCGCGTTTATTATCGAAAAAAATTTTTGAAAAGGCTAATCGGTAATCCCAATTATTAATGACTTAAATAATATAGTAAGTAGTAATTATAAACAATATAATAAATTCAATGTTTTTTTTTTTTGCGAGAAATTAATTTATAAAAATAAAACTTTTTTACCGTTAGATATACTAACAGAAAAAGAAATAACTTATAGAAATATTATAAAATATTAAGGCTGATGATCAGTTTTTATTCAGAATGGTTTTCGTGTGCAATTATGTATAAAATAAATTATTTAATAATATTATTATATTAATTGAAATGTCACAAAGTTTAATCACTGGATTGATTCTTTTCTCAAGTTCTCAATATCTAAATTGTAGCTAATTTATTTATTTTATTAATTTTTAAATATAATTTTTGCTTAACATGATATATATTACACCAAATTACAACTCAATGGTGAGATATACCGATGTCTATACTGTTAAGTAGAGTAGTTCCTTATTTACCCCATTTTTTATTGTATAATTATTAATTGTACATAACAAATAACAAATTCGGATTTGATTTTTCGTATGATATCGGTTGAATTTACTTTAATCAGTGGAGTTTATATTTATTTTTATAGGTCAAAAAAATGTAATTGTAGAATTTATATTTTTAGATCCTTTTGTACTTCTTGAGCCAAAAAATCATTAACATTTTTTTTATTCTATGTAGTTGAAAAAATCCATCTTCATACTTTTCTCGATTAAAATGATAACGTACAATATGTGCTAGTTCCTCTTGTGAAATTCTTGGTTTTTCATTAAATTTATAGCGCTTGGATTATTATACATTAAAGGTTGTTTACCTTTTGATAAGCTTTTGATCAACCATGTTATCTGCTTATGATTATTTTTACTGTTTCGCTTACCGCAACATATTCTGATTTTGTTGATGATAATGATACACTTTGTTATCTTTGTGACGTCTATGAAAGAACAGATGACTTATACTTGAAGAAATATCTTGCAACGATATTATTAGGAACAAATATTTGCATACTATGATGTACCTATATCTGTAATATTATATGCATAGTATGATGGGCGAAATCATGAATGAATTGATTTTAAAATTATGCCGTCACCTTTTGAAGTAGTAAAACTGTTTCAATATTAAACTTTGAGGGCGTTTTGTAGCAAGAAATTAAATCTAGTCGGTACTTTGGGAGTCAAAGGTATAACATTTTCAGTATATTTCTAAATAATAGGGAAAAACAAAAAAATTGAGTGAATCACGAGTACGTACGTAAGAAGTGACACTTTTTTCGCAGTTTTTGGGTTCGTGGAATCTTATGTGTGTGTCACTATAAGATTGAAATTAAGATTAAAAACATAAATGCAATTAGCTTTTATAATCACTCTTTGTTACTCGTTTTTTTTTATTTTTATTATTATTAATAATTAAAGCCGTTGGGCGCTGGCTATTTTAATAATACTAAACACATAGAACAAATAAACGATAATAACAATAACATACTCGTATAATTTCGAAAAAATAATCGAATACATCAATATTAACACAATTACAATAATACCCAATTTAAACAACTGTATAGCATAATATATTTTACGAGGTTTGTCAGCGTTACAGCCAAACGTTATAGTCACGAGATTAATTTTATTTTGAAGAAACCTGA